CAGTGAGACCGTATTCCTGTCTCGAAATAATCGTCGACTGCACTTCGGTGGGGGGCCTCATAGGGCCGTACACACTAAATAGCCATACACCGTGCCCATCAACCTTCTGCAAATCTGCGAAGCGCTAAGGCTGCTGGGCAGCTGGTGCCAGGACCACTGGCATCCTATCTACTGCGTACCGAAAGACGTTGCCTGGCAAGCACTTGCGACTCCCTATAGTTTAAGACTGTAGCACAGTATAGTGTGGTACCGTACATTGCAGTACAGTACACTCTAGTATATATAACATAGGAGAATAGAGTAGATTATAGTGCAATATAGCACAACATAGTATTGTATAGCATAGTACAGTGATATACGATACCTAAGAACATTACATAACCTAATATATATTCTAAGACAATATACCGCGATTCAACATAATGTAGCGGAGCAGACTAGAATGGAATAGACTAGAGCATAGCATAATATGACAGTAAAGCATAACATGACATAGCAAAACCCATAATATTATATTCTGGAACGTGTGCCTTTGTGGAGGTCTGCTTGTCTCGAGTAAACAAGCCTTTGCTACGGTTTTTGAGTAGGTTTTAAAATTGCTTTCCATGTCGATACGAATTATGTACATGTAGCGTGCAGTTTACAGACTAATCAATTTTGCTTCATATCATGACATGTTCATCTGATCCTCATCGTGGCACATTCCTTGGTTAGATTGACGAGCGTGAGACAGAGATATTATCCGCAGGCCATGCTTTTGGGGACGTAACGACGCGATGGACAGTATTGGAAGGACCCTGCTCGAAACAGCCGTGCGCGCCGGATTTTAGAAGTTTTTTTGGCGTGATTTTTGCATGAGTTTGCTTGATTTTGCTTGAATTGCTCGATCTTGATTTTCATCAGGACGTCCGCATGTTTGGGCATGGGCTTGCTTGATGCTGATTTTCCTTGCTGGAGCGCATGGCATGTTGAGGAAAGAGCTTGCTTGATTTTGATTCTCAGTGGGATACCATATGTTTAGGAAAGGGCGTGCTTGATTTTGATTTTCAGTGAAGCAACGGCATTTTGGGAAAGAGCTTGCTTGATTTTGATTTTCAGTGAGGAGAATGGCATGTTTGGGAAAGAACTTGCACGATTGGCCCTACTTGAGGTTCGGACGGCTGCTGTGCGAGCACTATCGAGGCTTGATCCCCAGTAAACCCCCCTTGACCCGCAGTCACGTGAACCGGCTCCACTAAGGTCCTTCGTTGTTTTCTCGCTGGCCACACAGGTCCACTGTGACTACGAAGGCAGTCCGTGCACGCAAGCATTCGCCCCAGTAGGCCCTCTGTAGCCCCGCACCTTCTGCCTTTTTCAGGTCCGCTCTTCGCCATCTTCTTCATCCAGCCGCGGCCTTGCAGTGGTGACGAGTCGTTGTGGGAACTGCGCTGGAGGCTTCTTTTAAGGGTTCACTCTATGTCTTTGCAAGCCCTCGCCCCAGTAGGCCCCCCGTAGCCCCGCACCCTCTGCCTTTTTCAGGTCCACGGATCTTCGCCATCCTCTTCGTCCCGCCGCAGCCTTTGATTGTACGTGCTGGAGTGAGTAGGTAGTCTGTGCAAGCCTCACCCCAGCACGTCACCAGCCATTTGCAGACCTCAGACCCCCCCGCTGCTGCTTCAGGTCCAATGTCCATCACAGTAATCGCCCTCATCGTACTCGAAGGCCTCTGTTTGCCATCATGCCATTCCCGGCCTGCCCGGGCCGCTGCAGAACTTTGAGCAGATTTGACGTCAAATCCGTCAAGTTTCTCAAATTGACTTTATTTCTGCTGTAGGAGGGAGGGCAAGGTGAGAGATTTGACGGGTTTGACGGGTTTGACGGGCTTGGCGAGCGTGCAGTGAGTATAGGTTCCTCGTTCACGACCCTGAGCGCCCAAGCACCATGCAATGTCAGGTCCGCAGATCTTCGCCATCCTCTTCGTCCCGCCGCGGCCTTTGAGTGTGCCTGCTACAGTGACAAGTCGCTGGGAACTGTGGAGAGGGTTTGATGCACGTCAAATCTGTCAAATCGGCGCGTCCCAGCGCCATGTCCCCATAAACCGTGCAGGTTTGACAGATTTGACGGATTTGACTGTCAAATTGGCCTTGCCCAGGTGTGCTCGAAGTCTTTCCCTGGCTGCGCGAGGCTCTCAGCTGGCTTGCCGATGCGGCTGGCGTTAGGTGGCGTGCAACGTGCGGCTGGCGCTAGGTGGCGTGCGGCTGGCGTTAGGTGGCGTGCGGCTTGCATTAGGTGGCGTGCGGCTTGCTTGACAAGCCTAGGTGCTACGCTTTCGTCTCTTTGCGTGTGGAGCCCCGCAGTGTGCAGTGGTGCCAATGGGAGTGCAAGCGGTAGCAACGTTGGAATATGTAGGGCAGTTGACTCAGTTGACTTGGCTTGCTGGCAGCATTGTGCTTGGTGCACTCAAGCGGCACGCTTTCAGGGGTTCCGTACGGGCTGCCATGCAGGCGGCTCTGGACTTTCTCTCGGAGGTCTTTCAGCCTTGGCAGGACCTGAAACGTGCGGTTCCTGTGCCCGGTTGGGAGGATGGGGAACACTGCCGGGCAGAGCGCGTGGCTTCGCTGGACGGGATCCGGTCCTTTGCTTTGCTGTGGGTTTTTGCGGAGCACTCCTTCAAATCTTGTTTCAGGAACATGTACACGGGCGCACCCATCGGGTCGTTCCAGCTGAAGGACTTCGTGCTGATGCAGTGGTGGGGTCAGTGGCCTCTGCAGGGCAACACAGGCGTGGACTCTTTCTTCGTGCTCAGCGGCATGATGATCAGCAGCGCCTACCTGCGCTTCGACCCTATGACCTCCCTCCCGCTGCACATCGCCCTCTTCCTGCTGCGTCGCTTCTTCCGGATCTGGCCCATGGTGGTGGCCGCAGTGCTGGCTGGATACCTACTGACCGCCTGCAGCCCGGAGTTCGCGGCGCGCTGGAATGATCTTGCGTGGGTCCATCTCTTTCTGATCCCCAACTTCTTCAAGGAGAGCCTGAACTCAGCCCTCGCCCATCTCTGGAGCGTCAGCGTGGAGATGCAGATGTACCTCCTGACCCCCATCCTATGCGAGCTGATCTTCGATCGGAAGGCAGGCAAGCGGCGGCCCTGGGCGTATGCCCTCCTGGCATTGATTTCTCTGGCCAGCATGGCGCTGCGCGGCTTTTGGATCCTGGGACCTCCGCAGATGCTTGACTCGAACCGGTGGGGTAGCAGCTCGTGCTGGACGAGGAGAAAGCCCAGGAAGGCAATAAGGCGGAGGAGGCGGAGGCCGGAAATGCGAGCCTCATGCTGGCGCGCGCAGCGCGAGCGTTTGGCGGTCTGCTGCTGGACCTTGCTGCAGTAGCGGTGATGGTCCTGTCCGGGCTCTTCGGCTGCTACTACCTCCCCGCTCCCAGCTTTATGGACGAGGTCCTGGGAGCCCGCGGCAAGCAGTGCTCTGTGGCGTTCTGGCCCCCGCTCTTCGGTTGGAGCCTGGCCCGCTGCCTCTATCACATACTCACGGCCGCAGCCAGTCGACTGAATCCCTGGTACTGGTGTCAGCAGTTCCTGGGTCGGAAGCTTTGGTTCCATGTGGCGCTTCTTTCCTACAGCGCCTACGTTATGCAGAACCACGCCGTCCTGCCCTTGATCATGTTGGATGAAAGCCTGCGCCTCAACTGGTCCGGTCTGGGACGCGGCGATGCGCCGTTGGCAATGGTGCGCTACACCGTGCAGTTCTTCCTCTGGACGCTCTGCTGCTGCCTTGTGGCTCTTCCCTGCCACGTTTTCGTGGAGGTTCCAGGGATGCGGCTTGGCCGAATGCTGGACCGGGCCCTGCGGCGCTGGTGCCAGAAGAGCTGCAAGGGATTGGGGCCAAAGGTGGAGGTAGTGCGCAAAGAAGGCGCTGCCTGCAGAGACAGTGGCGTCAGCGAGATCGTCTCCACGGACACCTCCGCCTCCTCGTGCGTATGAACCCTTCTCCCTCTGTGCCTTTGCTTGCGTGTGATTTTTTCGTGGTCAGTCAGCTGCAGGCAGCGTGCACCGATGCCCTTGGACTAGTCTTGGACTCCACTGAATATCAATTCCAAGACTTAATCTTGTATGTACAGTTCTTGTCCTGGGATCCCATGGTGTTTTGGAGCCAGGAAAGCAATTGCCGCGTGTCAGAGCCAGGAGAGCAATTGCCACTTGCCAAAGTCCACGTTTTAATTTTGAAGCTTTGCAAAGCATGGAATGCTCCGGGTCTATGTCGAGAATCTCTGACCCCAATTACACACAAATCATGTGTGTAATTTGTACAGTTTGTAAAGTGTAAAGCATTCCTGCGCAGAAAGCAGCCGATTCATAAGACCAGCAATATTCAAAAAACAGACTGGCAGGTGCGTATTTTCCTCTGTGAGAAGCATCCGTTGCGGCCAGTGGCTATCATGCAGGATGACGTGAGGTAGACGTGCTGCCTTTGAATTAGGGGTGTAGTGGACATGTAGCGTAGTCCGTTCCTCTCAAGGCCTCTCCTCTACCTCCGCATCCGCCGGGAGCCTGAATCCGAAGCCGAGTGGAGCCCAGGGAATGGATCCGCCGTACCCCCTAAAGGATCCATCCCCTGGGTCAAGTGAGTGCGCAAGGGTTTCGAGTTTGCTGTGTTGCCACTTGCGTCTGTGCGGTGTCTTGTTGTGTTTTGCGTGTTAGGGGATAGATGAGGGCCTTGGCGGTTGTAGGGGTAGCTAGCCTCCCAAGGGCCCCCATCCCAAACCCTCTGATGACGCCTCCGGAGCCCGCCCCCACCAGTTCCACGCCGCCGGAGCCCGCTTCCACGCCGCCGGAGCCCGCCCCCGCCAGTTCCACGCCGCCGGAGCCCGCCCCCGCCAGTTCTACGCCGCCGGACCACGCCGCTCCACACACGTGTTCTGTTCGAGTTCTCAAGTCGGATTTGCTTCTAGGCGAGCAGAACCCAGCGATGTCGCACTGCCCTCATCTCTGGTGCGTTGATGTTTTCGCTGCTTCTTTGAGAGCCCCTGCTGGCCGTTCATACATGCGGTGTAACGACTACTGTGGCATACTGTCTGCGGAAGGACATGGCTGGCTCAAAAGCACGTACAGAACTGTTTGTTCACCAAAGTCGGAACTTTGGCAAAAAGACATGAAGCCATCAAAGGAAAGGGTGACTCCTGAATTCCAAGCCAAGACGCAGTAGCTATACCCCCCGGAGATATGGATTGTGGCTCTATGGATCCGCACAAAGGCCGGCACAGGTAGCTAGGAGAATGTTGAATCTTTAGGCACACGACAGCTTGCCTTAGAGTTCGACGCTCGTGCTCTCGGCAGGTCTGGCGAGGGACCACAGCCTGCCAGAGGTTGCCACAGAGCTGCCGCCAGATCAGGCGCTTAGGCGCAGCGAAAGCTCAAGCTCGATTCGCATGATTTCGCATGTGCAGGCAGAGCCATTCGAACATGTACAGATGTCAGGCAGCCGCTGTTGCACTCCTCCTCGGACGAATCGGAGCAGCTGCCTTGGTTTCCCAAGACTGCAACCCGCAGATTTCCCGGACGGCTGAAAATAATTCACAATTGGGTCCCGGCTTGTGGCCCAGAAAGCTCAGGGCATGGTCTTTACTCAGCGGCAACAGCCCGATGCGAGGCCAGGACGGTGGCTGGTAACTGTACCCTCTGCAAGGAACATCACGCTTGATGCCAACTTGCCGGAGATCGATACACTTGCATGCAAAGCCAGACCGCATTAATGCTTCGCTTCAGGCTTGTATGATCACGGCTTTGATCTATGCTAGTATGAGCCACAGGTTACTATGCGCTTGCGTAGCATGCCCACACATGAAACCACATGATGACTTGCCGCAGTCCACCGGGAATTCGCCCATGCCAGCACGCAGTGTCCATCTCCTGCAGACGAGGAGGCCACCAGCAAATGTGCATTCGCTACTAATCATCGAGCCGGCGTATGCTAGCTTCAGCCAGGCGGTGCCGGCTCCCCAGCCAGACCCAGATGTGGACGAGGACTGACAAAACCCACGGAGGAACTTGTATAATAGCAATCGCGAAGAAAGCCTCAGCAAGGGGGAGCTGCTCTCGTGTCTGCAGGAGAGCATCAGGCGGCGTTGCTTGGATCAACATGTATACGGTGTACGTAATGGAAGTGCCACTGCTAGCACAGTCAGCTGAGGCGCTCGTCATCACTGCCTGCAGCTTTGCTGCGCACGGCTTTGCTGCTCATGGTGCTGCAAGTGTATGGTGCCTCGGTCAGATGCAATACCTTCAGTTACATATCACTATGTCACTATGTCGATGCAAGTTCTCCAGGTCCTGGTGAGCACCATCATTTCCTGTCAAGATCGGGTTCAGTCAGCAGGATACGCTGAGCACTGCAGGTCCTGGTTGTCGTCGTCAACGCCTTTTTCTTATCAGGTGGTGTCCGCAGATCATGCTGCTGACAAACTGCATCGGGGATAGGGACCTTTCCTGCATAATTGAGTCGGCATTCGCAAAAAAGACATCAGATTCTTCTGCGGAAGACGGACCTGTTAGTGATCGGCCGGAATGGTCAAGCCTTGGCAACGAGTAGAGCCCGTGCACACGCAGGTCCTCTTAGCAAGCCGATGTGGATCCCGATTAGTCAGCATGCCGCCACTTTGCAGCATATTAGCCTGTTTGCACAGAGATTTGCACGAGTGCACTGGTCGGTAGGACGTCATCGTAGATGTGGCATGCACCAGATGGAAGTTGCATGTTCTTTCCTAGCACTGTGGCCTCGAAATGCCAGAACTTCTTCCAAGCTGCAGAAGTTCCCGAGGCCTGCGAGAACTGTGACGACCTACCGAGAAGCGCTGACGCCTTTCGTCAGGAAGCTCCAATGGAAGGTGGCCTCGCAGCTTGCGAGGCTCTTTGCAGTTCGTGGCTGGGCCTCGTATGTAGAGATATGTAGAGCATCTTGTACTTTTCGATCCTGGTTAACTGCACAAGGCTTACTGGGCCTTGACCTCGTAGCACCCCCTATGCCTATTGCGTCAGAGCGAACGACACAGCCTTTTACGTCGCCAGAGTAGCTCCTGCCCAGCTTCGGATGCTGCTGAGGTACTCAGACTGCCAGGCCGTGGACTGGTTCAACACAACAAGGTCTGCCTGGGGGATTCTCTTGGTTCGGCCGGGAATAGGGATCTTCAGAGCACAACATGCCTTTTAATTGCCAGTGTCATTGAGCCACACTATGGAAGAACGAACACATGCACAGGTGGTGCAACTTGTACACGCAGCCCTGCCTAAAGCCGACGGCAAACTGGGATGGCGCAAGCTCATATCAGCAGCTTGCAGGCAACCCTCAGGTAATTAGCGGGCGATTGAGCAAGCGGGGGGAAGAGAGAAAGAGTCCTACCACAAAGAAGGAGGAGAGAAGGATTAGGAGCACATGAGCTTGTTTTGTGCTGGTTCGTGCAACTTGCGGAGACCAGTTTCCCGATTTGTCAGACACGTGGCTTGTTTTGTTGGCCATGTGTAGAGGTAGCAGACTTAAGCAGCGTTTAAGGGTCGATGCGTGGTAGTTGGCGTGGTTTGATGCATCTCCGACCTCCTTCATCCAGAATACTTGTTTTGTGGAATTCGCACGATACCTTGTGGCGGAGGCGCGTATTGCATCGCGCTGGCAGCAAAGGAATCAAACGCAGACCAAACCGAAACCCGTACGACTTAATTAGTACTTCAACCTCGGGGAGAGGGGCTTGCCCACTCCAGCAGCTTCGCTCTGGAAGCCCCCTGTGTGTGAAGCGGAAGTGAAGTGTAAAGAAACTTTTCAGATCGCTGGAAGCCTTAAGCTCGTGACCTGCTAGGGAGCACACTGAAAGCAAGGCTGAACATGAAACTGAGACTCCAGACAGTGCAAGTTCAACGACGCCTCCCCTCTCGATTGCAGGAAGGATTAGAACCTCTGCCCCGTTGAGTTTGCATGTGTTCAAGAGAGTCTTTCCCTGGAGAAAACGGGGCTGCAAAAGCTTCGGTACATCCTTATGAAAGGACCTCACTAGCTTCGTGACAAAGTCGTTGAGATGTTCCTGTCACAAAAAAGGCCGAAAAGCAAGCCAACATCTCTAAAGTTCGGAACCCAGGTCTTGATTCACTCAGAGTGGATAGCCGGCAGAATCTTTGGCTTCAACAAGCAAAACAGAACAGGGAGTGAAAGAGAGAGAGAGAGAGAGAGAGAGACACGTTATCCTTTAACGGGCGTTGACTCCCCATCAACTGAGACACTAGTGCTGTATGTTTCCACTCTTTGATACAGTCAAACCCGGTGCAACAAGCTTTGCAACTGTACTTTGCAGCTGCACCTTGCACCCATATCTTTTTACGACCTCAGGGCTCCGTTTCCCTGGGATTTTGGCCCTCGTTTCACGTCCGTTCGCAAGGCCCTCAAACAGGGTGAGCCTTCCGGCTCGGGCGACCTTACCAGCCCTCTACGCCTCGAAGTGACGTGAAATGACTGCCCAATAAGGCTTGGCTGAAGTGCCAGCCAAAGGAGACGCACATGGTAATGTTTACATGACAAAAGGTTGTAAAGTGCAAAAAAGGCACACCACTCTACCGGGCGAAGTCAAGCCGCTAGTTCGTAGTTTCGTAGATGTTTGCGCAGAGCCACCAAGGATTGCCGTGAGCTGCACGCTGTTCAATGGCACGAGCGGTGTCATGATCGGAGGGCAGTGTATGGCCGGCATCGAAATACCTACTACCTGGTCGGTTGTGTGCCTCCGGCAAGAAACGGCCAGTCCCGCTTGCCTTTTCTGTCAGCTGAAAGTGTAGATAAGCCCCTGTGAGGTCCTAAGTTCTTGACCGAAGACATCCCAAGATCTTCCGTGCCGCGGAGTAGCCCAGGAAACGCGAGATTCCGAAGCTTTTGTCTTCGCCAAGAAGTTGGCTTTGCTCACTCAGCGTGGCTCTCATCTACACGTATGTCACGCGCGCTTGGCGAGTTTAGATTTCTGGAACTGCTGCTTCGAATTGATGTTCGCACCATGCGGACGATCATTGTGTCACCTAGTCGGCAAATTCCACATATCATGACAGGTCGTCTTGGCTTCGTGGAAAGATACGGCCTGTGGCATCATGGCTGGAAAATGCAATTTTTCATAAAGACAAGCAGCCGCATTTGTTTCTGCTAGGAGCAGTGCTACCGTCGTAGGTAGCAGGCACGCCTTAAGTCGGAGACCAATATTGAAACCAGTCGCATGGTACAGATCCGGAAAGGCGCCACGTTGATTTGACAGGTCTTGTGGATCACGCCAAAGGGCCCACGTGGTCGGAGTGCAGCTTGTCTGTAAATCTACGGGCGGACAGGACAGAACTCCTTGGGACCGCAGAGAGCAATGCTTCGTGCAAGTCTGCTGACAGCAGCCCTAGATTCCGAGAGCTTTGTGGAGAGCTGCCTGATTCGTACTGGCACTTAGAAAGTCAGACGCTGCTTTTGTTCGTGGCCCTCTAGGTTTGCCAATGTCGCGCCTAAACTGTGCATCAATGCGGGCAAAAGCCACAAGTCAGCCACAAGCTGGATTGGAGAACATGCCATAAGTAAGAAGATCTCCAAAGATCAGTAGGAATAAACAAGATGAGTAGCAACATACGTAGTGTTAGTCGTAGTGTGGTGGTGGTAGTAGTAGTAGTAGTAGTAGCAGCAGTAGTAGTAGTAGCAGCAGCAGCAGGAGTAGTAGTAGTAGTAATAATAATAATAAGAAGTAGTAGTAGTAG